AGGTTTCCCTTGGGTCTCTGTGCTGCCTCTCTGATTAATGCCCTCCTTGCCCGGTCCGTGTGTTTTGATGGGCGGCCGTCTCTTGGTAGGTTTGCTGTTGTGCCATGTTCTTTCCATTTTGTTATGATAAATTTGATGGTGCTCCTGGGGATCATAAAAGATTTGGATTTTTTTTATAACCTAACCCTGACTTGTACTTCTCAACAACATTGTACCTTACTTGTTTGGAGAGTTCCTTGGTCTTCATGGCAGTGTTGCTTAGGAGTTGCAGCCTTTGTGGCCTTTCAAAAAAGGTGTGTATATGTAATGACAGATCATGTGACCCTTAGATTGCACACAGGTGGATATCATTTCACTAATTATGTGACTTCTGAAGGTAATTGGTTGCACCAGAGCTTTTTATGGGCTTCATAACAAAGGGGGTAAATACATACGCACATGCCAAGTTTCTGTTTTCTATTTCTAAAAAATAGTTTTATGTATACATTTTTCTCATTTCACTTCACCAATTTAGACTATTGTGTTCTGATCCATCACATAAAATTCATATTAATAAAACATTGAACTTAAGGCTGTAATGTAAAAAAAATAGGTAAAAAGTCAAGGGGGGTGAATACTTTTGCAAGGCAATGTAGATCGTATTAAAACATGGTGTATATGTCATACTCACACACAGTATTAATGGTCAGACTGTATATAGCCAGTAATGTAACATGGTGTATATTTCATATTTACACAGTATAGAAGCACATGCGGTATAGATAGTTACATAGCTGAAAAGAGACTTGCGTCCATCAAGTTCAGCCTTCCTCACAAATGTTGTTGCTGTTGATCCAAAAGAAGGCAAAAAACCTGGTCTGAAGCGCTTCCAATTTTGCCACAAACTAGGAAAAAATTCCTTCTTGACCCCAAAATAGCAGTCAGATGTCTCCTTAGATCAAGCAGCTATTACCCCACTAATTAGAAATTATATCCCTGTATGTTATGTTTTTGTAAGTATTTATCCAATTTCAGTTTAAACATCTGTATTGACTCTGACAAAACCACCTCTTCAGGCAGAGAATTCCATATCCTTATTGTTCTTACTGTAAAAAAACCTTTTCTTTGCCTTAGATGAAATCTCCTTTCTTCCAGCCTAAATGTGTGACCTCGTGTCCTATGTATAGCCCTGTTTATGAATAGATTTCCAGATAAAGGTTTGTACTGGCCCCGAATATATTTGTATAAAGTTATCATATCCCCTCTCAGGCGCCGTTTTTCCAAACTAAACAGATTTAATTTTTTTAACCTTTCTTCATAACTAAAATGCTCCATTCCTTTTATCAATTTTGTAGCTCGTCTCTGGACCCTCTCCAGTGCCATGATATTCTTCTTTAGAACAGGCACCCAAAATTGCACAGCATATTCAAGGTGTGGTCTTACCAGCGATTTATAAAGAGGCAAAATTATATTTTCATCCCAAGAATTTATGCCCCTAATTATACATGACAAAATCTTACTGGCCTTAGCAACTGCAGATTGACATTGCATATTGCTGCCTAATTTGTTGTCTATAACAATGCCCAAATCCTTCTCGTGTGTGGTTATCCCTAATTCACTACCTTTTAGTGTGTAAGTTGCTTGTGCATTCTTAACCCCGAAGTGCATAACTTTGCATTTCTCTATGTTAAATTTCATCTGCCATTTTAGTGCCCAGTCCCCCAATCTATCCAAATCTCTCTGCAGCAAAGCAATATCCTGCTTACATTTTATTACTTTACAAAGTTTTGTGTCATCTGCAAACACTGATACATGGCTTTCAATGCCTATTTCAAGATCATTTATAAATATGTTAAATAGAAGTGGTCCCAAAACAGAACCCTGAGGGTCACCAGTTACCACTTTCGTCCAGCCTGAAAATTTACCATTAATTACAACTCGTTGTACTCTATCCTTAAGCCAATGTTCTAGCCAAGAACAAGAATATTCATCTAGACCAATTTCTTTTAGTTTGAAGACTAACCTATTGTGAGGAACCGTATCAAATGCCTTGGCAAAGTCCAAGTAGATCACATCCACTGCAACACACTGATCTATACTTCTACTTACTTCTTCGTAGAATGCAATTAGGTTAGTTTGACATGACCTATGTTTCATAAAACCATGCTGATTATTGCTAATAACAAAGTTCTTCCCAATGAATTCCTGAATATTATCCCTTAAAAGCTCTTCAAATATTTTCCCAGTTACAGAAGTTAAGCTCACAGGTCTATAATTTCCAGGCAAGGATTTTGAACCCTTTTTAAATATAGGAACAACATCTGCCTTCCTCCAATCCTTAGAATCTTGATAAATTATATAAGTATATAGTTATATAACATGGTGTATTTTTTATGTTGTATGTTGAAGTAGTGAAGGTCGGGCTGTGTAAATAGTAATATAATATGATGTTGATTTCATATTCACACAGTATTAATGGACACGCTGTATAGATATTAATGTAACATGATGTATATTTTATATTAAATGTTGCATTATAACATGGTGTATATTTCATATTCACACACAGTAGTAATAGACAGTCGTGAGATAGACTGTAATACACCATATTGTATTGTGTATGTTGAAGTATTGAAAGACAGGCTGTGTAAATAGTAACATAACATTGTGTATGTTTTTTTTATTTAGTTTTGTTGTATGTTGTAGTATTGAAGGGCAAGCTGTACATATAATAATATAACATGATGTATATTTTATATGTTACAGTATCGAAGGTCAGCCTGTATATAGACGGTAATATACCATGATGTATATTTTATTGTATATGTTGAAGTATTGAAGGCCAGGCAGTGTAACTAGTTATAACATTGTGTATATTATATGCTCACACACTAATGAAGGCCAGACTGTACATATACAATAAAATATACATCATGTAATATTACCGTCTATATACAGACTGATCTTCGATACTGTAACATATAAAATATACATCATGTTATATTATTATATGTACAGCCTGCCTTCAATACTTCAACATATACAATAAAATATACATGTTGAAGTATTGAAGGCAGGCTGTACATATAATAATATAACATGGTGTATATTTTATTGTGTTTTATTGTATATGTTCACACAGTATTGAAGGCAGGCTGTACATATAATAATATAACATGGTGTATATTTAATTATGTTTTATTGTATCTGTTCACACAGTATTGAAGGCCAGGCTGTACATATAATAATATAACATGGTGTATATTTAATTATGTTTTATTGTATCTATTCACACAGTATTGAAGGCCAAGCTGTACATATAATAATATAACATGGTGTATATTTTATTATGATTTATTGTATCTATTCACACAGTATTGAAGGCCAAGCTGTACATATAATAATATAACATGGTGTATATTTAATTATGTTTTATTGTATCTGTTCGCACAGTATTGAAGGCCAGGCTGTACATATAATAATATAACATGGTGTATATTTTATTGTGTTTTATTGTATCTGTTCACACAGTATTGAAGGCCAGGCTGTACATATAATAATATAACATGGTGTATATTTTATTATGATTTATTGTATCTATTCACACAGTATTGAAGGCCAAGCTGTACATATAATAATATAACATGGTGTATATTTAATTATGTTTTATTGTATCTGTTCGCACAGTATTGAAGGCCAGGCTGTACATATAATAATATAACATGGTGTATATTTTATTGTGTTTTATTGTATCTGTTCACACAGTATTGAAGGCCAGGCTGTACATATAATAATATGACATGGTGTATATTTTATTATGATTTATTGTATCTATTCACACAGTATTGAAGGCCAAGCTGTACATATAATAATATAACATGGTGTATATTTTATTATGATTTATTGTATCTATTCACACAGTATTGAAGGCCAAGCTGTACATATAATAATATAACATGGTGTATATTTAATTATGTTTTATTGTATCTGTTCGCACAGTATTGAAGGCCAGGCTGTACATATAATAATATAACATGGTGTATATTTTATTGTGTTTTATTGTATCTGTTCACACAGTATTGAAGGCCAGGCTGTACATATAATAATATAACATGGTGTATATTTTATTATGTTTTATTGTATCTATTCACACAGTATTGAAGGCCAGGCTGTACATATAATAATATAACATGGTGTATATTTAATTATGTTTTATTGTATCTGTTCACACAGTATTGAAGGCCAGGCTGTACATATAATAATATAACATGGTGTATATTTTATTATGTTTTATTGTATCTGTTCACACAGTATTGAAGGCCAGGCTGTACATATAATAATATAACATGGTGTATATTTTATTATGTTTTATTGTATCTATTCACACAGTATTGAAGGCCAGGCTGTACATATAATAATATAACATGGTGTATATTTTATTATGTTTTATTGTATCTATTCACACAGTATTGAAGGCCAGGCTGTACATATAATAATATAACATGGTGTATATTTTATTGTGTTTTATTGTATCTATTCACACAGTATTGAAGGCCAGGCTGTACATATAATAATATAACATGGTGTATATTTTATTGTGTTTTATTGTATCTGTTCACACAGTATTGAAGAACAGCCAGTGATCACTGTATGAAGCTGCAGGTGAAGGGAGTGACCGAGATCCGGCCATTAAACGGTTAACGCTCTCCCTGTCAGGAATGGGCGGGAACCAGGCAGTTGCTATAAATAGCACGATTGCGTCAGCGCTGGATTTAAGCCAATCGGTGACAGATCTCGAAGTCCCCGCCTTCTTGCAGTCAATCAAGGAACAGAGAGCCAATGGTTCTGAGCGGCGGGCGGGGCTCTTGGTTTCCCACGCCCTCCCATTGGCTTTTCGCCGGTATGACGTCACGCTCCCCGTCTCCTGGGTGACAGGGAGGAGGAGGCGGCCCAGAGCGAGCGATCTGCCGGAAAGGCTTGTCGTGCGAGCGGTTTCTCTGGAGCCTCCTGATTGGCTGCCGGGTCAGGGAATGGGGCGGGACGGAGTCGCTGATTTGCCGACGCCAAGTGAGGCGTGGCCAGCAGGTGAGCGGGGGTCCTAGAGGTATCGCAGAGGAGGAGGGAAGTGACTCCGCGGCCTGCGGGTCCTAGAGGTGACGGGGACGGTGACTGACGGGTCCTAGAGGTGTCGGGGGTCCGGAGGAGGCGGCCCGCGCGGTAAGTCGGTGTGTGTGCGGGGATGTGGGGGTCGGGCAGGGGGAAGGCCCGAGCCGCCATGTCCGGGCTGTGCTGTGTCTGGATCCCGGTCTGGCAGTGCTCATAGCGCCGGGCGGACTGGGGGCCTCTAGCGGCGGTGTGTATAGTCCTAGCGGTACTGCCCAGCGGGGACAGGCCTGGGATGGAGGCTGCAATGGGAGAGGGGGGAGGGAGCCTGGGACCTGGCCTAGCTGGATGCCGTACTGCTGGGGACATGGTGTGCTCACCCTGCTGATGGCATTATTAAACAGGGAATGGAGCTCTGTGTCACCCAGAGAGTGCCGGCCATGGAGGTCTGTGTCACCCAGAGAGTGCCGGCCATGGAGCTCTGTGTCACCCAGAGAGTGCCGGCCATGGAGCTCTGTGTCACCCAGAGAGTGCCGGCCATGGAGCTCTGTGTCAGCCAGCGAGTGCGGCCATGGAGCTCTGTGTCAGCCAGCGAGTGCGGCCATGGAGCTCTGTGTCACCCAGAGAGTGCCGGCCATGGAGCTCTGTGTCACCCAGAGAGTGCCGGCCATGGAGCTCTGTGTCAGCCAGAGAGTGCCGGCCATGGAGCTCTGTGTCACCCAGAGAGTGCCGGCCATGGAGCTCTGTGTCACCCAGAGAGTGCCGGCCATGGAGCTCTGTGTCAGCCAGCGAGTGCCGGCCATGGAGCTCTGTGTCAGCCAGCGAGTGCCGGCCATGGAGCTCTGTGTCAGCCAGCGAGTGGCGGCCATGGAGCTCTGTGTCAGCCAGCGAGTGGCGGCCATGGAGCTCTGTGTCAGCCAGCGAGTGGCGGCCATGGAGCTCTGTGTCAGCCAGCGAGTGCCGGCCATGGAGCTCTGTGTCAGCCAGCGAGTGCCGGCCATGGAGCTCTGTGTCAGCCAGCGAGTGCCGGCCATGGAGCTCTGTGTCAGCCAGCGAGTGCCGGCCATGGAGCTCTGTGTCAGCCAGCGAGTGCCGGCCATGGAGCTCTGTTTCACCCAGAGAGTGCCGGCCATGGAGCTCTGTTTCACCCAGAGAGTGGCGGCCATGGAGCTCTGTGTCGGCCAGCGAGTGGCGGCCATGGAGCTCTGTGTCGGCCAGCGAGTGGCGGCCATGGAGCTCTGTGTCGGCCAGCGAGTGGCGGCCATGGAGCTCTGTGGCGGCCATGGAGCTCTGTGGCGGCCATGGAGCTCTGTGGCGGCCATGGAGCTCTGTGGCGGCCATGGAGCTCTGTGGCGGCCATGGAGCTCTGTGCCGGCCATGGAGCTCTGTGCCAGCCAGCGAGTGGCGGCCATGGAGCTCTGTGCCAGCCAGCGAGTGGCGGCCATGGAGCTCTGTGTCAATTAGTAAGAAATGGAGCTCTGTGACACATAGTGAGAGGTAGCCATGGATCAGTCAGTATGAAATGGAACATTGTATCAGATAGTGAGAGGTAGCTATGGAGCTCTGTATCAGATAGTGAGAGGTAGCTATAGTATGGTTTAGAGTCCTGGATCAGTCAGTATAGAAGGAAGCTCTTGGTAGATAGTCATGGATTAGTCAGCAAGTAAGTGAGCCATGGACCTGTTTGTGAGAACTATTGTCAGTTCAGTCAGTAAGAAAGTGAGCCCTAAAACAGAAAATTTTAGCTAGTTATTGATCAGGCAGCAATGAGGGAAGCACTGAATAACTAATGATGAATGGCCATAGATCAGTCATGAAAGGGCGTATTGGACCAGAGAGTGAAATATAATTTATTACAAAGGTTGCTCTGGGTTAGTGGGAGAGAGATACAACAAAATCAGCTCATGAACTGTCATGTACAAAGCTAAACAGATGAGCTTCTGCTGTTAAAGACATATTATGTGTGCGCAAAGGCCTTAAACTATTGCCAAGGAAAGATGGGATTTGGTGGTATGAGATCTGAGCTAGTGCAAACCCCTTACAGACCGTACACTATGAAGGTAATTGTCATAGTTTAATTTCACATTCAATTCGCACAGGAAATAAGATACATTTGCAAAATAGTGCCAACATATTCCGCAGCGCTGTAGTATAGGTAAAAAAATTTTTTTAATTCCAACAGATCTATTTAAAAAAAATCTGAATCGTTGGTGAAGAGGGCATTGCCCAAAGAATCTTAAAATATGTATACACATACACACACTGCACAAAAAAATAAAGGGAACACAAAAATAACACATCCTAGATCTGAATGAATTAAATATTCTTCTGAAATACTTTCTTTACATAGTTGAATGTGCTGACAACAAAATCACACAAAAATTTAAAAAAATGGAAATCAAATTTTGTGTGTACATATATATTATATAATTTTATTTTATTTTTTTAACTAAAACGGTTTTCTCAAACAATGCAAGTTTCTGTTTAAACTCTGTGTAGTACTTTGTTTGTGTGTGTGTATATATATATGTATGTATGTATTTATTTAAAGTATTACACCACTAGCCAGCGCTTTAAATGTTATTAACCAATACAAACACACGAGTGGTACTCACCAACTTCCTCTCTGTAGTGCCTCTAGACCAGGGTAGACTATTCCAAGAAAACCAATGATAATGAAAAAAAAAATGGATTGGGCACATGAAGACGGTGTTAGGCAGTTTTTTTGAAAATCTCTAAAAAAAATTTGGCTTCTACAGCATTTTTCAAGATTTAGAAAGGCTTCTGTATGAGTAAAAACATTGTATGGATTTCCAATAAAATTTCCTAACACTATCTGCATGTGCCCAGTCAATTTTTTTTTTTAAGTTACACCACTGCATGCCATAGCATGAATGTCCAGTTGACCGGGATAAATATTCTGTAGCCAATTGCGAGTGGAAATTTTAAGCATGAAATAATTTTTGAAAATGACTGGCTTGTGTGCTATTTTAGGTTTTTGGTGTATCGGTGGGGGGCGTCTGTCCTGATCCAAGAGGTCCCGCCCGCCCCCCACCATGGGCAACGCAGCCACAGCAAAAAAGGGTGGTGAAATTGAGAGTGGTAAGTACTGTCAAGAGGGAGTGGGGGAATCAATCCAATACTGTTTCTCTTCAATTGAGTTTTAGCTTGTTTTGGGTTTTCAGCACAGCTCCTTCAGCTGAATCTTTGTTAAATTTTGTTTTCATTATTGTAGGGAATGAAAGATAAAATGCTATTGTTGACACCTAAATTCCTAGCAATTTAAGCAAACTCTCCATGTATATATTTTTTGGGAAGAAGCTGAGATCTGCAAGTATATATTGGTTTGAATTTTGGTGCATTCTCTTCTCTCTCTATTTTTTTTGTTTTTATGTTTTGTGCATTTTTTTACTTGCAAACATTTGCACATATAAATAAAAAAGTGTCAAAATGGAGTGAGTGAAAAAAAGGGAAGTTAGATGAGGCTTTGATAAGTGGAATTTATGTGGAGGGAGTGTGGCAGAGAAGGGGAACTAACATTAATACAAGATGGTGTGAGCCCAAGTAGAAAGTGTTTGGGGAGCTAATGTACACGCAGAGGAGAAATTAAATGGGGAGAGGGCTACTGAGAAAATGAAGATCATGAATTGTAACGCAATAAGAGGTAAGTGAAGTAAGGAAAAATTCTCAAAGATAAACTTGGGATGTAAGTTTGTTTACTTGATTTCTGCTGAAAATAAGACGCAATGCACTGCATTATTTATTTAGTTTCAATCTTCTGATGTGACAATGTTGCAATCTTCTTTTAGCTGCATCCTAAAAGTTGCCTGAGTGTTGGGGGTTACATGGTTATATAGGATGAAAATTCAAGAATTGAGGGAGGGGGTGATGTCAGCGGTTAAGGATCAGTCTGCATGAGGAACTTTGATGCAATACTGGAATGGAGGGAAGATTTAGCTTTATTTTATATAGTTTATGTTGAGGTAAGGGTGACCAGCACAGCACGGGTAACTAACCAAAAATACTGTTTTATTAAAGCTTTTTTTTTTTTTTTTTTTTTTTGGACTAATCCTTTTAAGCTCTCAGATCTGTAACTTCTAGACAGAGGTCTTGATCCAATTTTAAACACGGGCACAATAATTTAGCTTTTTTTCCAGTATTTTTGGTACAAATCTTGAACAAAGGAAAACAGTTTGGATATTACCACAAGTAGCTCATTAAGTACTCAGGGTGAATACCATCTGGCCATAGGGCTTTTACTTCGTTTTTAGGCAGTTCTGGTGATTTAAAAAGCAAGTAAAAAGTCATGTGTGATGCCATTAGATGCTAGTCTAATTTTTGTTTTAACCTTAATCAGAGGTAGAGTGTGTTAACGATTAATCTTTCAGGACAAACTGCTGTAATATATATCTGATGTTCCCTACACGCAGCCTTGATTTTCACTTGGGTAGCTTCCCGTTCTAATCCCATTTTATAGAATGATAAATTACCTAGATTATTCTATTGCTTCCCCTTTTTAACATGTCTATCAACAATGTGTTTGTGTTTATATGCTTTACTGTTCTTATCAGTCAAAGTTTGCACATACTCATTTGTAAACCAGCCTTTTCTCTTTTTTTTTTTTTTTTTATAAACTATGATTAGAGAATTGTATATAAAAAAAATAATTGTACCTTAATGAAACAGAATAAGCAGTCTGAAGCACATACCTGTTAAAATGCTCTGTCACTCTCCCCCATCCCCCAATCCAAATTGAATATTTTTATTGAAATTCCAATCCAGTCAAAAGTAGGCACTACTTAGTGTTTTGAAAAAGGCAGAGCTGTTGTCAATCCCTCAGTCATCATTAGTGGTGGCTGAGGTGAAAAAGACTGTCAAATGAGGATCCTGCGTCATCCTTCATAGACCTTAGTGTTGCACTCCCGCACATGCGAAACCGTATTGTGCTTACATGGCAGCCGATCCTTCAGATGTACGGGGAGGAAGACTCTTTCTATGGCGATTATCGACGGATTCTCTGTAGACCTCGTTGTTGTACTTTTACACAACGCTTGACAGCTCCTTGCTTCCAAAGCTGGAAAAAGATGGCAGCAGCCAAGAAGGACAGGTTCTGTTAAGTATAACTCGCCTTTTCCTGCACCCCTTGGCCACTGCCCTGTCAGGAGAGCAGTCACTGTTGAAGGGGGGCTTTGAAAATTAAACAAAGATCCTCAGACGGTGACAGGGCCTCTTTAAATGTTTGAAATGTGTATATATTAGAACGCCGGCTTTTTTTTCTTTTTTATTTTTTTTTTTCTTTTTTTAAACTTTGTTTTATTTTTTCAGTGAAGATTAACACACATCTCACAAAGTGTCTGTAATGGCTGTTGTCAAGATAATCAAAAATCACAACACTTAACAATGTTATAAGGTGGGGGGGATTTAACAACAAATGAGGCAAAGTATTACACGTTTTGACAGGAATGCTAAATTGATCAGGGCCCTGCTTGAAAAAGTTTATTGAGCTGGGCCTGCACTGCAGGGATTAGCACAAGAGAGCTAAAGGAAGCTCCTAAGCAGGAGCTTCTAGATGTGTTGGCTGTAGAGGAGGCAGGGACCAGTGCCCAGTTAAGATGGCAAACTGTTCAAAAATGGTCTGACTCCCTACATTGGGTGGCAGCCTGGGCACTCTTTGCTCCATAAGCACTATGCTGCAGTGTGGAGTGATTTTTGAGCTTGTATTTTCATGTGTTTTTCTTTTCCCTTTTTCAAATTTTTTTTTTTTTAATCGTTTCTCAAACTTGTAAATTGAATAAATATATTCTGATTCTTATGTCCATTTTGAGCTGTTTAACCATGTTTTGTCATTATTGTTTTTAATCTTGGACACATCAGCTAAAGACCACAACTACATGTCTGTTCATCCACCCATTGTAAAGCTCTGCAGAATTTGACGGCACTCTATAAATATCATAATAATAATAATATACACATAGTGCTAGTTAATCAACATCAAGTAAGTCCCTGTTTTGTTTACGGATTTTGTGTTCCAGCTAAATATGTGTTTGATTTTTGCCATTTCATTCTTATTTAATAAAAAAAAAAAAAGTCATTTTGTTGTGTTTTGGGAAGTTCATTGTCACTTTTTTTTTTAAATGGCATTACCTATAATAAGGTATATAGTTGTGTTTTTTTCAGTCAAAGGCACACAATAACGGAAAACGTATTTATTTTTGCCTACTTGTGTTTGGTTTATATGTTTGTTGTCATATGACATATTATGTATACAGTGTATGTTGTAGGCATGCTTAGTATACCTGGAGGTTCTCATTAGGGCAAGGTTAATCTTTTGAATTGGTAGCTAGGACATGGATGGGCCGTAGATTCCCAGCCATTTTATTGGCTCTTACCATTTGAGTTGGTGCCAGTCACCATCTGTCAATTGGAATTGGAATTGAGAGGGCTTTTTTCCCATTAATCACTTTATTGCCTCTTTGACCTGTTTTATTGAATAAGCTCATCTTTCAATTAGTTATAGGTAGTTGTAAACCAAACTAAGTTGGATCTGTATGGGATAGTCCATCAGTAGATGTATAGAGATTCCTAAGTTGAAGGCACTCAAGAAAACTTGGTATTGACATCTTGCTTTTTTTAGCAGCAAACAAAAATCAAGACTAGAGTATGAGCTTTTTGTTGGGAAATGGTAGTTCCCAGTGGACTCAAAACATTCTAAAATTGTTTAACTCATTACATGGCTGGGGGTAGGGCACATTTAACAGAGGTTGTATTTTAAGGCAATTTATCTCTGGTTTACATTACAGTTCTTTCAGACTAGGCAAAGTCAGAGCTAGCATTGCAGATGAGAAGTAGAGATAGAAATATATTGATTTCTTCTTTTCTTTGCACCTAGCAGTCGTCATAGAGAGCGCATACATAGAACGTATAACAAATTAAGCTAAATTGGAAGCTCCTAGTTGCAAGATCAAAAAGGGGTTTATTTTTCATACTTCATAAATACACGTTTGCTAAATATAGTGGATAAGTAAACATATTAAATATCATGTAAAAAAAAAAAATAATCTTATCTTGAAAAGCTAAATAACTCAAAACTATTATTATTATTATTATTATTATTATTATTATTATTATTAAACCCAGAGAAAATGCAGTGTTTACTTTACAGACTAGTGATAACCCCACTGGCCACTCCTTAGATGGCTGCTAGAGGTGCTTCCTGGGGCAGTGCTGCCTAGGGTGCAGCACTGCAATTCAGTATCTCCACCCTCTGCATGGTGACACTTTCCTCATAGAGATGCATTAATTCAGGTCATCTCTATGAGGAGATGCTGATTGGCCAGGGCTGTGTTTTGGCTCTGCTCCTGATCTGCCTCCTTGACAGTCTCAGCCAATCCTATGGTGAAGCATTATGATTGGCTCAGACCACCACTTCTGATGTTGTCAGCAGACAGAAGCAGAGCCAGCAGCTGCAGACTTGAATACAAGTAAGATTTTACTATATTTAGGGAGGCAAGAGGGAGCCAGGGGGCTAGAAGGTGGTTTTAATATAACGGGGTCAGGAATACATGTTTCTGTTCCTTTAATTTCTCCACAGACTGGTGAATAATCTGCAGTATTAGCTCTTTTTTATATGTGGTATTTAAAAAAAATAAATAAAAATAAAAAAATCAACCCAGTACATGCTTGTGCAGCATACAAGAGTTCTGAGTTATCTCAATGGAGGAAGAGACAGAATGGCTGCAATTTGTATAACTAGTAAATACAAAATACAGCAAACAGACATACATGCCAAAATGGCTGCGTGCGTGTGTGTCTCAGTGTCAAAAAGCATGCCTTCCATATTCTTGTCTGACAGCTAGGTTGGACAGATAAAAGAAGCAGCTCACGACTGTTGTTATAGTGTGACTAGTCTTGGGGTGCCATTTCCTTGGTTTGTGCTTTGATATAAACTGGAGCTTGAATAAAGAGTTTCCGTATGGTGTAACAAATATATAGCGATGGGATTCAACCAAATGCATGGAATTTCAGAAAATGCTGTCATGAGGTTAAATAGTTGGACAGAAACTGGATGATGGTGTACGTGGATCCTTTGCACCATAACAAGGACACTGAGCTGTAGTGGTATGTTGCTTAGAGTGCAATTTTAAATAAATAAAAATACTTCTCTTCAATCCCAATTTGTGTTTGTATTCTCTAGTGAAGTGGTTTTCAACTTGGAAATACGCCATCCATTGCTAGGGTGTACTTCGCCATCTCTACCAGAAAATGATTTCTGCTGTCTGTTATCTACTAAACCATGTGTAGCGGAGATGCAATATTACCCAGGTTATCTCCGCTTATAATCCAAGTGAGACTCAGGAACAAGTAAATAGTAAATCCAAAGGCAGGGTTTCCAGCAGGTAAAATACAGCAATATCCCAACAGCAATCCCAATAACTGGACGACACACAGTTTCAGGAGCATAACTCAACAGCCTTTAATCACAGTCTCCTTATAAAGCATGCTCCCATGCAAGGGAGGAACTTACAGTAATTATTACAGTAGCCAATCCTGTCCTGGTAACCTCCCACACATCCCCTCCCCTCAGCCAGCATCATAATCCCCTTATCCAGCACACCAATTCCCCCCGTTTCTGGATGTACCCCTAAACGTAGGGGTACCCCTTTAAATCCTACACCCCCTGATAGCCCTGATCTGGGTGAACAACATATCCAAAAATCACCCAGATCGGACCAGGGGTTCGGGAAAAGTATGGAGGGAATAAAATGACCGACCGCACGAACAGAGATAGCCGAATTCGGTTCCATGTGAATGGGCCTTGCGGTCGGTCCTGGCATAAGGGAATAAAATACACGAAAGCCTCTAGCTATAGAGGCTAGGGAGGGTTCGCCTGAATCCCCTCGTTCGGTATTTTCTATTTACCGAACGAGGGGCCGTTCGGTAGTTTGGAACCGAACGGACCAGGGCTGTGGAGGTCTCAGCGGTGTTCGCCTACTCGAGTGTCCGATTTTAGTTCCAGGCACTCGACGGCAAAACACCGCTGTTCGGGAGTTTTAAAATGGCCGCCGCCACGTGTTCGTTTGTCGAATGGCGGCCACCCCCGAGAACAAAGGACGGCTACTTACTGTTCAATTACCGTTCGCAACAATGTTGCAACGGGTAATTGAGGACACACTTCACACAGGGAGGTCTGGTTGTTCGGTAGTTTCATTCGAATAAACTAAGGGAATGAAACTACCGAACAATCAGAGGAATACAATTCTTTTTAAATACACAGAAATTACAGCAGATACACGTATGCAGCTTTATACAGTATTTCTTGTAGGGTCGCCTGGTGCCATCTGCTACACCATGCATGGTGACAAATTCTCCAGGTAATTCCAAGGTTTGGGATCTTCAGCCTGATCTATCATTTAAACTTGCTGTTCCCTGGTGAATTCCTGACTGTTCAGTTTAGTAAATAACACTGTCTGAGTAACAGTTTATGACCCCCACACACTCTGTGATATCCCTTTAACTGGAACCTACAGCTCTGTGGCTGCCCAAATCCAGTCCTTGAGACAAACCAGATTGTCAAGGCTGTGCTTAATATGTTGCTTAGCGATACAGTCACTTGGTTAATTACATGTTAATTAGAGAAATTCTAAATCTCTGGTAGGATTATGGTCCTGAAAGGACTGGTTTTTAACATCTTCTGTTTAACCCATCATTCTCCAGAGCAGTGAAGTGGTCCAGCCATGCCTCTGTATTAATAAAAGGGCACGATCACTTATCTGAAAATGTAAATAAAATGCCTATAAAATAACCTATAACATGTGTTAATCTTTTTTTCATTATGTTCTCAAAATGTTTTCTTTGAAATTTAGCGGGCATGTGGATTTTGTATCCTGACAACAGGGACATGTAGTTCAAGACAGGAAGGTTTTTTGTTTTTAAATAAATCTTTAGCTCTGCTGCGGTCAAGCGCCTGGACTGTCTGGGGAGAACGGGGCTTGGAGCAGTGTAAGGATTGCATCTCTGGAGGCTGCATACCTCAGAAATGGGTCCCTTGCAGTCTGCCGCTCTGAGTCAGAGCGCATTTACTGGTCTTCCGGTCTGCAAGCAATAACTGAGTTGTGCACCTGCTAAAGGTGCACACCTTGTACTTCTTTACCGGACCACTTGAAATCCAGGACACCGCCACTTGACTACCAAGTATCCAGGAACCACACTAAACCCCACAGAGTAGGGGGTCACAGCTACATCTGACATTGCAGTACACTCCATACAGGCAGTACCCACCAAGTAGACCAATAGAATGTCAATATGGACAAATTGATTGGGCTACTACTCTAGTTGCTTGGACAAGTAAACTTTTTTTTTTTTTTTTTTTTTAAACCCCAGTTTATATTTAAGATTTAGTAAATTACAGCACAAAAATTATTTGTTAAAGGACCACTATAGTGCCAGGAAAACATACTTGTTTTCCTGGCGTCTTCTCATTGTGATTTTTCACAGTGAGAAGCACGCAAACGCCTCTAGCGGCTGTTAATGAGACAGCCACTAGAGGCTTTAGAGGCTGGATTAACCCATTTATAAACATAGCAGTTTCTCTGAAACAACTATATTTATAGAAGAAATGGTTAATCCTAGAGGGACCTGGCACCCAGACCACTTCATTAAGCTTAGTGGTCCTTTAAGGTAGAAGTAAAAGTTTTAAAAATTCTGGGAAGTGATAGTTCCTTTTCAAATGTCCACCTATTTCACAAAACTGCAGGTAGACTGATGCCAATCCCAGCAGTCATTCGTTAGCTGAGAGCATCAGCTGAATGCTCTCAGCCAATGAATGACCCTCTGTGCATTGAATATGGACAGAATTGACATTAACCAGCCCACAACTCTCAAATGCTACCCATACATACTTCAAGCACCATTGTGCTTAGGGTACCCTTTTAACCTTGGTATCACTGACTTGTTGTTCCTGTGCAATTTGGCAAATTTGTTAAAATATAAACATCACCGGTTTGCTCCTTCACTACCATGTTAGATAGTCGTTTGGCATGCCAAGTTAACCTATCGCCTTTAGACTACTTGCACCTAAGTTTGGTGTCCACTGGGCGATCTTATTGTGAGCTCAAGATATTTTCAACGCTCCTGCTGAGGAGGAGCATTCCTGTATTACTTATCTGTTGATTTCAATATTACAATAAATATGTCTGTTTAGATATGTGCCTCAATTTAAAAAAATGTTAAACACTCACAGGCCATAACTTTTGCTTCTAGCCTTTACCATGGCCATTCAGCTTTTTGATCAATCATACAGTGATTTTATATTATATCTGTGCACATACAGTGGATGTGTGAGAAACCATTATTTGTTGTATTCGTATACACCATATGTCCATTTTGTTAGCTTTGCCTCACACAACCAGTTATAAGGTTTCAATATAAAGTGTTTTCGATGGTTGTTGCACACTGGTGAGGAGTTGATGTACCTAGTACTGTATGGGTTCTGCATGACGCACAGCCGAAGGCTGGGGATCTAGCAGATTAACAGGTTGACATGAGTGAATGCAGTCCTTTGTCTAGGGAAAGGTTAAAATGTGTGAGATGCTGTTTTGGTCTCTGGCTGGAAAGAGGTTAATATCGCAGCACTGCAGGTCACTTCTAATGAGCTTTTATCCCAGGTTAATCCCCTTTTAGCGGTTATTAATAGCTAGTCCGGCCCCTTCATAATAGGGTCAGATGTGGGCAATTGCGTCTCTTCCTGCCCCCCTCCCTCTTCACACACACACACACACCCCCCCTGTCCATTGCTATGCAGAGTATTACACCCACTAGCAGTGGGTGCCCCCATCTCTGCAGCCGATGCTGTCCACAGGAGGCATCTTCCGGCGCTGGAAACTGGCAACGTCTCATCTTGGACCCTCTCCAGCTATAGATCATGAGGGGCTGGAGCGCTTCGGTAAAGAATACAATGTTTGGGGTTGGGACCATCCTATGGAAAACTCAAGTGTTTTAACGTTCAGAGATTTGTGGTTAGATCATGTGCCACTCTCTAGCTGATAGACCAAGGTGATAGGTGTGCAGGGGGTTTTCATTCACTATGCTGTAGATAATTGGCTGCCATTGATGATACTTATTTTATTTATGTGACCCTAAAGGATCAATTTGGTTTACAATTTTATATATATATATATATATATATATATATAATATATAATTATATTTTATTTTTATTTTTTTTAACTTTTAAATATAAAAGCACTGTGTGTTCCCAGATTATCCTCTGTAGTTTTGTTCTCTTCATGTTCCCATATAAGATGGATATTTGTTTCTGATGCTGGTTATGTGGAGTTTAGCAGTTGTCTATAGTCCTGTTAATTTGTGCCATCTCCTCTTTAGAGTTTACACATTAGAAAATAGCAGAAAGAGATTCTCTACTGGTGCTTGATTTAACAAAATGTAATTTTCATAGTGCTATTCATGGTTCTCTCAATAGGGGGCACACAGTGTGCTTCAAATCTCTCTGAAAATGCACGTTGATGTGCAAGTTTTTTTGTGTGTGTGTGTGTGTGTTTTGTGGTGTCTTGTGTTTTTATTACACAATAAATGCATTCGCTTAGCTCCATAAATGCATTTCATTTGTCAGCAGCTGGTAGCGCTACTCAGTTTCAATGTTAAAAGGGTATTCAGCCCTTGCAAGGCTAGTTCAGAATTAGTAATCCTTCTTTTCAAAGTCTGCAGTGTGGGTGATGTGCCAAGTGAATATAACAGAAGAACATACAGAAACTAAACATAGACCATCAAATCATAATGACATATTTTTGGAAATGAAGTTATACCAGGGCTTAGTATTTAAATTATTACCATATCAGGCAAGTGTAAGACTTGCTCTCCTCTCATGTCACACACACCCATTTTGTTTTTATTTAAGTAGTGTACCTGACATAAGTGTGTATGTGATTGCAGGGTTGTTGTGTTTTGTTTTTTTTTGTGTGTGAATTTCCTACTATGACAAATTCTTCGTAAGCAGGACCAGTCTATCCCTCTTCCTCACTGCCTCTAACAACCCAATTCTTTCCTCCCCCACTTCATTTACTAGTAGGCCCATTCATTCCTTCCACTCCCCATTTGCCAGGAGAAGCCTTTTACCCCCTCACTATCATTTGCCAGTGGTAGACCATTCTCCTTCTCCCCATTGCCAATAGTAGAACATTCTCCTCACTTCGTTGCCGAGTACTAGCCAATAAGGCCTCCTTCTACCTTGCTGATCTGGATTCTATTACCATGAGTGTTGCTGCACAGTGGATGCTTTGTCTATCACAATGTCCTGTATAATTCCACATGGAACTGCTCTGTGTGGCTAGCTACTTGGAGCACTCTTTATTTATTCTCTCTTCATTCAATGGCTGTAGTTCTTTCCAACCTGCATTTGGCTGTGGGCACAATAATTTAGAGCACCAATAATATACCCAACAGTCCACCAGAGTTCAATTTCCACTTGCAAAATGTGAATGGGCGAGTGTAAGTTGAGCCCTGGATATAACATACCTGTCTGGCAGTAAAGTTACCTGCTTTTAATCACTCATGGTCCATAGCTCTAAACATAGTTTAGGAACAGACTGTGCTCTGTGATTACATGATTAGGTTGCTGGCTGGGCTCTGTGCGGGGTGCAAGTTGTGCACACCAGGTTTTTGGTAATGAGGTGACGTTTCATGCAGTGTATGCGCTCTGGTGATTGGGGGGGCAAGCTTCTCTTTAGGAGCTCTGGCTGCTGCGAAAATCTGTCCCCTTCTGGGCTGTGGCTGAGCAAGCAACCTCTCATTTGTTTATATGTAGACACAACCTGACCTCAGTGATCTTGGGTGTGGTTCATTTACAATTGATGCGGAGGATAAATCAGAATGCTCCCCTCTGACAGCTCGCAATGAACAAATGTGCACACAGACATACCCTGAGTTGCACATAGCTCACCTGCCTGGAATTTCCACCAGCCCTGTTGTTGGTTATTGGTAAAAAGTGACTGAAGTGTGTGTGTGTGTGTGTGTGTGTGTATATACACTTGTATCTTCAGCTTTCCTGGTTTATGATATACTTCTACCTGGTCAACCCCTGTAGGTCTAGCCACACGCAAAACCACACTTCATGCAGTTCAGGTCTAAATAATCTGCCTCTGTTGTCTTCGTCATAAGGGGAGTGGGGGGGGGGACTTTGAGAGCACTTTATTGCAGGCCTGCAGAGCTTTCTCATATACAAATATATGTAGGGATGTTGTGTGTGTGTTTTTTGTTTTTGTTTTTTTAAGTACACATTGTAAAAAAACACAAACAAACTTGATTGCATGACAGTCAATATAAAGCAATACGTTCTGCAGATTTTGCAATGTTTTGAAACAAAGTCTTCTACTTGAGGGCTGGGTTTTAAATGTCAATTGGTAAATAAATTTTCCATAATAATAGGTTCCTAATTAATGGTAAATATCTACTTAAATTACAGTAGCTACCTAATGTTCTTATTTAATAAATGCAGACATTCTCTGTGAAACTGTCTTGAAACTTAAGAACCAAGTTCTGTTGCATCATACAATTATTTTATGATTTACCCACAAATACTGGAAAATTCCTTTTTTTTTTTTCTTCACTCCTCCAGCAATGCTAGGGGATCATTCTTTCTCCTGGATAGTTAAGGAGTTCATTTTGAAGATCTAAAGTGATCCTGAACAGTCTCGGCTGCTGCAACTGCTACCAGATATATAACTCTATAGCCATTTGGCCTAAAATTTACAATTCCATTGGCAGTTCTCCACAATTCCTGTTCAGCGAATACACCCCTATATGTGAATGATGGTAATATAACCAAATAAACCAGAACTTATCTCTAGTCTTAGGAGATAAGATATACGACATGGTTATGTGTAAATGCAAGTACCGGTACTCTGTAATGAAAAACAAGTAAGAAGAAAAATCTTTACAACAAATTTTTATTCTGGTATTGCACAAAGACAAGTAGGGGAATACTTTATCAATTTCAACCGTTCATTGCGGCTTATTTAAAGGGTTAAAGATGCCCATTGGGTCCAAATAGCACCCATACTTATATACAAGGAACACTATAGGGCCCGGAACACAAACATGTATTCCTAACCCTATAGTATTAACAAACTACATTAAGATGGTGACTATAGTGTTCCTTTAAAATATGTCTGCCCAACAAGTTTTTGTTTTGTAGTAATTCTTTATTCATTCTTTGAATTAATGAAATTGTTGCCTCTTAAAAATAAGCTAACATTTTTATTTAAGAAAATGTACATTCTAATAGCTAAATAAATGTCTATTATTTATGTGTATCCCTTACCTTTCCCCAATTGCTTCTAATCTCTCAGCATCTGTTCATTTCTTCCTGTCTACTCTAGTTTTCTTTAAAACAAAAGACAAAGTAGGGACTATTTGGTCGTATGTATTTTTCCTATGCTTGACCAGCTTTGACCCAGGGGAGGAGCCAAGTCGGCTCCATTTCTTGTGGTCAACGGAATTTTCTCACAATTCTCACCTTCCTCTTGCTGCTTCATTCAGCGTTCGAACGCCGGTGAAACTACCGAATTTCGTCCTAACAGAATGAGAACAGTTTGTTCATTTGTGTTAGGATGCAATTCGGGACTTTTATTTGGATCGGAATTTTATTCGAATGAATGAAACACCAATCTATTTGTGCCACGGCTGCATCTTGCAGTCGCTTAGTAAATAGCGCCCTAATTCCCACGGTATTCGGGAGCTATTTATTAGGAGGCTGAAAGAATTAAGTGTCGTTGTCCCCCACTCATGCACCAAGAGTGGGGGCCACTAAACTAAATGAGGGACCTAGTGTCCTCCCTCGGCCCCCACCCATGAGCGGTATGTGGGTCCCCAAGATACAATAGGGGGGAGCTTACTCCCTCCCTCCCCCGGCACCCAACCATGCATGGGTGGGACACGCCTATTGTCCACACCCCTGGGTATCCAAGCGCGGCAGGTGGGGACCCTAAAATACAATGGTAAGACCTAATGTCCATTAAAAAAAATAAAACTGCTGGGGGGGAAAAAAATCCCAACTCTTATAAAATAATACATCTTCACCCAGTGAGGGCACCAGACTGAGCTCCGCAAGGCAGGAAAAGGCTTGTAAAGCCTTCCCACACACTGCAATTTAACTCAGAGTGCTCTGGTTGGTTTAAGCCAGGGGGAGGAAGTTAAGACATGCCCCTACTCTCGGTATAGCGAGTAGGGGCAGATTAATTACTAATACGAAGTAATCTTTACGTTACATTAGGGGGGAGGAGCCTATTGTCCACCCCAGTAGGTCTCTTAAAATGTAAAACATGTAGATTTGGCTGAACATAAGCCTTTCTAGTGCAAAGGTAGATCCCCCAGATGTTGTAGAACTACAACTGCCATGATGCTTTGCATGCCTTTAGAATGACAAAGAATCATGGAAGCTGTAGTCTAAAAGCTTCTGTGGTTTTCCTTTTGGGCACCACTGCTCTAGTGGTTGTCCAATAGAGACATACAATTTTCAAAGGACTTCATGTTCATAAGTGACTCAAATATCCAGAAGCACTTTCAATTACTACAAAATCATATAAATGTTCAAACAATTTTTTAGTTATTAATTATTAAATTCTGGCTATTTTGGTGTAAAACTTGAATTGTCAGTTTTTCCCAATTACTGGTTTTGAAAGAAAAAAAACTAAACCCTAAACAAAATTAAAATCCCTCAAGTCTAAGGACTAAGTCAGATGTAAACTTGTGCATGGGGGGAGGGAGGGTTCAGCCAGCCATCCTTTAGTGTGAAATTATTTATTTGCTTTGTGGACAACTTTTTTGCACATTGCTGTAGATTTATTTTCTTGTACCTGTCAGTTTATACTCCGGCAGACTCAAATCATTTTATGAGGTGTCATGAGTATATGTTTGGTTTAAGCCCTTGTGAAAACCTGAATGATTAGCTGTTTTTATTAGGGATTTTACTAACTAGCCAAGACTATAAACTGATTGGTCAAAAGGCAAGCATTGGCTTTGCTGATTTCCTTATACTCTATATCCCACTATTCTGAGCCAGCATTTGGATGGGGACATGGTGCTCATTGTCTGCCCCTGCTATTGTTTATCTGTACTATATATTGGATGGTAGAGGGTTCTTTATGAAATCTTTCTGACTACTAGGCATAAAGTCATTTAAGAAAATGGTGGGATTTTAAGTTTGTATTTAGAGATTAATCTGAGCAGATTGGCTGCAGTTAGTGTGCTAATGTTGTGCTTGATATGGGCCCAGAGTGGTTTACCTCACGAAAATGAAGTGTGCTTCAATTTATCCACTGTCTAAAAACAGTCTAGATTGATCAATAAAGTATATATGTGGAGTTTTATTGTTTCTTTGAATCATTAAGCACTCATACACCTATGTTTTTCACAAGCAAGACTTCCTGGTGTCCAAATTCTAACCCTAGCTTCCTTTTTGGACTCTACACACCATCTTCTCCACTAGAACCATTTAATCAGAAAATAAATCATTCTCATTTCAGGAGGCCACCATCAGAGCTCTCTCTCATTTAAGTTGTTTTTTTTTTGTTTTTTTTTTCAGTATGCTTTATAAAGAATTAAGGGCACTTTACAGTGGTGGCATTAGCCACCTACACTAATTTCGTAAAATTGTGGCTCTGTGGCTAGGGGAGTACCACTAGAACAGTTTTGATATCCTTTTAGATTGGACTTGTTGTCCTAGATAAGAAAATGGCTGGGCACATGAATTGTATCTGTACATAAAGTTTTATGCACAGATTAACAGCAATGTTTTGGCTATTGTGGACCTTTCTCACTTTTGAGAGAGGTTCACACACAAACCAAATATTTGCAGTTACCTGGCTGTTTTTGTATGCCGGATAATTGTCCGACACCCAGACTGCGGAGCACTGGACTCTGCTATATAAATAAAAATGAGTGTCGTCTCCATTTTATCATAATTTGTGTTCTCTTCTCGTTTTGTTCTCCATAAAGAGAGTCTACATTATAATATGCATACTGTTTCTTGAACAAGGCAGTTGAAATAAATATGCATGTATAAGTTTTTCTAAATGTTACTGTTATTAATATCTCCTCACTTCTGCAGGCTTTGCACCTGAATGGGCCCAGCAATGACTTCTTTGATCATGCTGGGCAGTGTCCATTCAACTGCTTAGAGGAGCATGTATAACATTATTAAATATTAGATCTTTTACAAACCGTATGAGTAAAATACTCTAATTGTAGTGTTTTGAATTCTTTCTTCCTGTGAAGTTGTGATTTTCTTCTTTATTTGTATGACTTTTATCTGTCACATAGAAGGCTGCTTTGCACTAGCAGACAATTAGCAGAGCAAGAGATAAGAACTATATTGGGGACCCTACAAGCACAATAACCACTACAGACCACTGGGGAGACCCAGATGAGTTGTCAAACCATAAAAAAAATGTTTGGCTACTTTCGATGGGGTAGCACTGAGGCACTAGTGGCAGCATAACTATAACCGCAGTTATGGTGTTTAGAGTGTTCTTTTAAAGTAAACCTACTCTGCTAAAATCGGTTACATTTGAACACCTTTTTTCAGGAAGTGTGTAGGGAGGCTGTATGAGTGACAGGTAGGGTAAATGTGGCTAGGGCTGCAAAAATAAAGCCATTTAACACCAGAGAATTGAGCAGTGAGAATAACCATTTCATTAACTATAGATGTTTTGGTGCTTAGACTGATCCTTTAATAATAACAACTTAAATCAGGGTTTCCCAATTAATTTTTCCCGTGGAACCCTTTGACATGGTATAGCAAAACTTTCGAACCCCAACAAAAATGTGCGCCGTAGAGTAGCGCAGCGCAAACCTTTCAATGAGCAGAGTGTAACGTTCTCTTTTACTGGCAAATTTATTTTTTTATATCTGGTTTAATTGTTGACAATTGTATTTGCATGTCTGCAGTTGCGTCAAGCCGATTTCGATACTTTGTTTTTGTTGCAGAGTAAAGTGAGAATCCAGTTTCACGTGCTGGTGCTGGCAAATGGCAACAGAACTTTGACTGCCCGCTTGGACAATTCTGGGTATTCTTCGCGTAAATTACCCCAAAAAGCAATAAGAGAAACTTCTTTAAAAGTTTGGCTTAGTTGACTGTCAGAAGTTATATCGATCAGATTCTTAAAATCTACATCAGAAAAATTGTCTGGCTTGTCTTTTATGAATGAATTTCGAACCCACTCTGAATGGAAAATACTGATTTAATAGATGTGATTAAATGGCGAAGATGATCTACAATTTCATAGCTAATTTCATCTTCAAGTTCAATTTCTGATTCTTCAAGAAAATCCTTAAATGTTGGCAAAGAGTTCAAATTATTTTGCTCAACAGATGAGGTCCAAAACTGCAGTTCACGAGACAGTGAAAATATTTTCTCTTGTTTTAAAAATATTAGTGCTTTTTCCTTAAAGTGATAAACCTACATCATTTAATTTTGTGACTGTCTTCAAGATATGCTACTTTGGATTACCACAGAGTGTTTGTTAATCGATCAGATAATTCAAATTTATGATCCTGGAAATATGCAAACAACTCTTGACGCAATTCAAACATTCTAACAAGGGCTACCTTGTGATAGCCAACGGACTTCTGAATGCAAAAGCAGAGCAGAGTGGTAACCAGTGCTTTTGTATCTTTTTTTTTTTTTTTACACTCCACTCACTTAAAATACATGACACTATTTCTTTGGCACTGGGTTTTATTAGTGATTCCCCAATTGTGTGTGCCTCTCCTTCAAGTGCTATGCGGTAACTCACTCTGTAAGAAGCCTCTGTGGCTTTTTGATTAGCATTTTGGAATTTTTTGCTCATAAATTGTTTACTCTTCTGATACTGCTTTCGCTTAAAAAAAAAAAAAAAAGTCAATGTCTTTATCTTTGTACTCTGCGTGGAGTTCCCTGCTTTAACAAGCTTTCCAAATTAATGGTTGTTTATTAGTCAAAACAAAACACTTTGAAAAATACAGATCTCACAACCTGACTGAAAAGGATGCTGATTTTGATAACGCTCTTAGAAAGAACGGAACTATTGCAGGATTTTTGAGTTGGACTTTGAGCAAAAAGATTTGAACACTTTGAAAAATACAGTTAACAGTTTTTTTGCCCCTGACAGAGATTTCTATGTCCCTACCTAACAGAGCTTTAACTATCAGCTCCACTCTTTATCACTCCTCTACCATGAGTGATAGAAAATGGCTGACGGCTTGGCTGGCTGACTGCTGGGTGGGCTCTCTCATGGACGAGCTAAGTGTTAGTGGCAAGGCGGGCTTAAGATCGATCCCGCGATTTCTGCTGTTTCTGACCTTCCGGGAACAGCAGGTAGCGGCGGCCATGTTGGATGTGGCAAAATGCGGCGGAACCCCGATTGGGAAACGCTGACTTAAATGATATGGACAATAAATTTTTTTTTTTTTTCACCTTTTTGTTACTTTAATTTTTATGTGATCTTACATACCTTAAGTTAGTACTTTATCTATTGTTTGTTTTGTGTATTCTAAATAAAGAATGTAATATTTGGCAGCTTACACCTGGCTCACATTTCCAGAATAACTGCTCATTATGTAAGTTAAACCAGTTATCTAATTGAGGATATCCATCTTCTCTCAATTTGCCTTTTCTTTTATTATATCCTTTTTGCCTTCCCCTGTGGTTGCAGATATTACTGTAGTGAGATTAAAGGAAGAGAGTGAATATTTTATTTTTAGACCTTGAACTTTATGTAGGCAAATAACCACACATAATTAAAAATTGCCTTTTAAAGCTACTAAACAAATCTAGAAATATATGGATTTTTTTAACGGTTACCGAATATAAAGACAATGAGACAGATTACATTGTCAGATATTCTTTATATGGACACTTCAAGCTGTTGTCAATAATGGTAAAAGTTCAATAAATCTATAAGTAAAAAAGAAAGTTGTAAATGTTGGGGTGTTTCTTGCTTTTTGCATATCAGGAGCTTTTCCTGTGACCAGATAGGTGTAACCAGGTTACTGTATATAGTAGAGTATAAGAAGAGTTTTTCAGCACATTTTTTGTGCTGAAAAAGCCCCACTTGTCTTATACTCGAGTCAATGTCTGTATTATGGCAACTTACATTGCCAAAATACAGACCAGGACCGCCGGGCTTGTAATGAGGTCCTGTTGGGGGCTGGCAGCAAGCTGTTACTTGCCTATACAGAAGCTCCTGTCAGCTTCCTTCTCCTCCGTGCTGTCTCGCGGGAGCCGCGGTGTCAGAGCGTTGCCCCGGGTTACCGTGGCAACTCTCCGCGCGGCACTCAGGCCGGGAGATTTACACTGGAGCTGAACGGCACGGAGGAGAAGGGAGCTGACAGGAGCTGCTGTAAAGGTAAGTAACAGCTTGCTCCCAGCCCCCCTCCTGCCCAGCCCATCCACTGGACCACCAGGGAATAATATAGCACCCCTCCCTGGCCATGTATCAAGCAAAATAAAACGTTTAATAATATTAAAAATTAATTTTAATATTCTAATAATTTAAAAAAGTAAATAAAAATGCCCACCCCCACCAAGGTTACACACTCTGCATCACATACACAAACGCACTCTGCATTCATTTATATACACACACTGTGAATAAATATTCAATTAATATAATTATTTGGGGATCTAATTTTATTTAGAAATTTACCAGTAGTTGCTGCATTTCCCACCCTGGTCTTATACTCGAGTCAATACGTTTTTTTTGTTTTGTTTTTTTCTTCAGTTTTTTACGGTAAAATTAGGGGCCTCGACTTATATTTGGGTCGACTTTTATACTCGAGTATATACGGTAATTTATAAAAGTGCCAATTTCTGTTGAAGTCTGCACCTTTTTTGTAAAATGAAAAAAGAGCAGAGTTTCATCAAGCTAAAGTGTTCTTTTCAGTTTTATGTCAAATATCTTTTTACCACTAGATTAGTTGCAGTGCAACACTAGGGATATCACCTTCTCTAGTGGCAAAATACTGCATATGCAAGACTGCGTGAAAATAAAACGTAAAAAGTCCCTCTTCCTTCCCACCTTTGCCATAAAAGATCCCCCAAATGCCCCAGTTGTCTGCCTGTTTTTGGCAGGGTAGGTAGTCGGGACTCACTCTCTTTCTGTCAGCATGGTGAGGTGGCTGCGGCCAGGGATCATTACGCCGGATTGGAGAGCAGCTTTGGTTGTGGGTTGACTCTCTTTTTTTACTCTTGAGCATTGGACCGCACGCTGGGTGCCTGTGTTTCACACTTTTATTAGTTCCATCGAGTGAATGCCAGACGTAGTGTGCAGCTGGGAGGATCTTCAGGTGGAACGCATGTACCAAGAGATTGTGGTGCTCTACACACATGCACATTGTGATGTTGATGCCAAATCAAAACAGGAAGGCATTGGATACTTTATATACCCATCCATAACTACCTGACAGCCAGTTGCTGTTCAGGTATGTTGAAGGTGTGCTCTCCCTAGTCCTCTAGCACAATCTGAGGCCTAACAAGGTAAGAGGTGTTTTTAAACTTTACTTTTGTTTTAGGCTTTCTGTCCCCTGGTCAGTTAGGTATGTTTCTTTTCTTTTATAGTATGTTTAAACCTGAAACCTGTAGAGAAAGCAAAGTGTCTGTCCAAGTCCAGACACCTTATCTGTGCATCCTGCAGTCAGCCTATGCCTGATTGGTATGAAAATAAAATGTGATATTTCTTTGAAAGAGGCAGCGGAAGAATCTAAGAAAGCTAAGGTTTCCTCTTTCCTGTCTTGGTACCAGTCCAGTCTCCAACAACCTAGTGGTAAGATAAGTGAAGCAGCTGTTCAAGCGGCTCAGTTATCTGTAACCCCTGAATGGGACTTAAGACCCTCTCTTAGAAATAAGAAGCTTAGACAGGATAAGTCTTTAGACAAGTGTCGAATCCTCAGGTAGCTCTTATCAGAAAAAGCATCTGAATTTTCATAAGGCATTTGCATACCTGATGAATTCTTGTGTAAGCTTATTAAAGAGGTTTCATTGTATATGGAAGATGCTCCAGATCCTAGCAAACCTAGGCAAATGAAATCCTTAAAGATCTTATGCTGAGAGAGTGGAGAGATCATTCCAATAAGGCTTTTATTACCAACACTTTCTGCCTACTGGAGATTCAAACGGGTTGCATTATGCTACACATAAGAAAGCGGAAACTACTTTAAGACATTTTTTTCTAACCAATGCTGCACAAAATAAGGCCTTTATTTTGAAATCTTCAGTAGCGAGGGCACAATGCGCCTGCTTGGACTCAATGGAAAAATTCTATGGGAGACTTTAAAGAGGGTCGTGGCTTCAGATCTTTTGGAAAACTCTACTTCAGTAGCAAGAAGGGCAGTCTGGCTGAGAGTATGGGTTGTGAACTCTGCATCCAAGCACTCATTATGTGATGTGCCAGTTGAACAGGAGAGACTGTTTGGTTACCAACTAGATGATCTTCTAAAACAGATGGAAAAGGGGGGGTGGGGTGGGGGGGAGCACTTCTGTAAGATAAAAAGAAGGATCACTGCAACAAGAGATTCTTCAACAACAGATCATCTAACAGATTCCTTTCACAGGACCAGTTCACGCATCTATTAAAGTCAGACTTTATAGCACAGATAAAGGCAAGTTTGTGGGAAAGCAAAAGCGGCACAAATTCTGACTCTGAGATAGTAGGGGGAAGACTACTGGAGTTTTTGGAAAATTGGCACAATATTGTAACAGACGAATGGGTCCTCTGTTATAAAAAGGTTATTACGTAGAATTCAACAGTACTCCTCAAAGTGGGTTCCGCAGTTTAATATCCCATCATGTCAATAAATCTCCATCTGGTCTCCGTCCTCAAAGAACCACAGATTACTTTTTTTTAAAGAAACCAGACTGCTCTTTTGGACCACAATTGGTCGGTGTATCATCACGTCTTTCAGAAAATATTCCGCATTCGGAGCCGGCTGGGGTAGCAGTAATTAGTGATGCCGGGAGCCGGTATCACTATAGGGAGCAGGGAGGAACTGCAGGTAGATAAGTGAGCAGCCCCACTGGACCACAGGGAAAGATCCACTCAGCTCTCCCAAAGGTAGGGAGGCTGGGTGGACATAAATAAAAATGTTAATTCTTTAGTTTATGTAAAATGGTTTGTGTGTCATTGTGAATGTGTATCTGTTTAGGTACCGGCCCCCCTCCAATCGCACGGGAAAGGTGGTTTTTACTCTCCTTTTTTCCCATGCCGCGCCTTTCTCTGTGGCTGGTCCGCCTCCATGGCCGAGATCATCAAGATTTGTGATCTCAGCTAAGTCAATGTTTTCCCATAGGAAAGGTTTAGGAGGGTATTGCACATACGCAGCAACAGGCTGTACTGCGCCAATCGGCATCTTTTCCTAGAGATGCATCTCTATGGGGAACATTCAGCACCTCAATGCAGAGCATGGAGATGCTGAACCAATGTCTGAGTGACTGCCACTAGAGGTGTCCCAAGGCAGCAATGTAAACACTGTATTTTCTCTGAAAAGGTAGTGTTTTCATTTAAAAGCCTTCAGTGACATGCTACAGACACCAGAACAACTACATTAAGCTGCAGTGGTTCTGGTGACTATAGTGTCCCTTTAAGAATTGAATTTTTCTCATTCCAAATTAAACTTTGTTAGTTTAAAAAAGGCTGACTCCTAGATTCCAAACAAACCATTGAATCAATGCATCTCTATGAGCCATGTTCAGTGTCTCCATGTAGAGCATGGAAGCACTGAATGTCATCCAGGAAGCACCACCAGCACCATGCAGGCAACACTCCAATAGTAAGGATGATATATTTATTGATCAGTGAACCACCCCATAGAAAGTGCGACGTTTCGGCTCAACGGAGCCTTAATCAAGGATATGTAATGCATGTCATTTAGATACATGTGTTTTTTACTTACATGCATATGTTATGTATGTCATTTAGATACATGTCTTTTTTAAATTTTATTGATGAATTCATTGGTTGTGGGGTTATATATGCACATTTGCACTTTATCCATATACATGATTAAGGCTCAGTTGAGCCGAAACGTTGCACTTTCTATCTGGTGCTTCACCTATCAATAAATATACCATCCTTACTATTGGAGTGTTGCCTGCGTTTATTCCTTTCGAAATCTAGTGGCAGTCTGTCAGCCAGCCAGTTTTTCATCTAAATGTAAACATTCTCATTACTGAGAAAATAGCTGTGATATCAATGATCAATTGTCAGTTCATTTATGAAACAAGGGAAGACTTGTTTTCCAATATTAGTGGAGATTCAATATTCATTTAGGGACAATACTGTTTAAGTTGGATTACATTTCCAATAATTTTCTGCTGGAGGAGTGTTAAAACCCTTGTTCCAGGTACATAATTACACCTTGCAGCCAATTAAAATACAGATCTATCGCAATGTAGCAAATAAAGCACCTAATTCAACAGGGGGAGTAAAATTAAGGTCCAATTTAATTCTTCTTTAATTATGTGCCATGTTTATTTTAAAGTTCTCCTTTTAACGCAACACTATGCAAACACTGCCTCCTCACTATGGTAGATTTTTTTTTTTTTTGGCAGAGTATGTATGCTTTGTAAACAGAGGGTTCTGCTCTGTTTGAGGTATTCAGAGGGTTAAATCTAGGTAAAGGGCAGTGGTTAAACCTAAACAAGGCATGTGTCCTGTCTACAAGGACAATCTGTACAAGCCACAAATTCACATAAACCTTCATCTAGTTAATGTTTGGCTATAGAATCGAAAGACAACCATCTCTGCTTATCTTTCACCCATTCAGACTTTTATATTCGTTTTGAACATTTGCTAGAAATATCATCCAGAACCTTACTATTCAAGATCACTTTCCCCATTAAACACCTGAATCTTGGTGGTGGTAGTAGTAGTATACAGAAAAGATAGTTAGAATGCTCTGCTAGGAACTGTAGAGAATTGAAGCGGGAATTGCAAGTCTATGCCCAAAATAGACATAGGAATGTTAAAAAAAAAAAAAAAAAAGTCAGAAAATTCCCTTTTCAATTCTTCAGAATGAAGAGTTTGTCGAATAACCCTGAAAGTGTATGTAAGGAAGAAACCTCACCCACCCATCTCTTGTCCTTCTTCATAAATCGTGCAGAGAGGGGGTTGGGGATGTTTGCCTTTCTCTAGTTTAGATCAACAAAGTAATCTGTCCAAAGTTAAACTCTGCATATTTTATGTTTATAGAGTCAGTTAATGCATGCGTTTCTCCAGCTGTGTTATATATTTTATTGTAGCCGTTGTATTGTTTGCTAGAGGTATGTGCTGCAGGTAGAAACAGTGGCTAATTTAAGTGTGGTGAATAAGTAAAGGTTTGCAAGTATGTGAAGGTCTGAAAATGTAACTTTTACATATCAGTCCTAGTTGTATGTGCGGAACGTGTAATGTAACTATCCGTGCCAGGCAGTGATGTTAGATAAGAGTCCAGCCACCTGGCAGGCAGACAGTGAGCTCCGTCTGGAGGGCTTTACAAGAGCATTGCACCTTGTGTGCTGCACAGACTATCGCCAATTGGCACTCTCTCCATCACTACCTCATTGCCCTTTCTTTGTTTCTCTGTATAACTTTCCTCTCTACTCTCAATAGTTCACAACTGAATAACCACTCATATTGTGGTGATCTTTCACTTGTACGTGCTTCCCCTAAATGCATGCACCTGCTATTGCACGAACAACCTGTCTCACATGTTCCCTCTCCCCCCTCACTCCCTTCTCACAGGTCCCTCTTGTATCCATACTCCTCCCCTTTGTTTTTATCTGGACTCCCCTCTTCCCTCCCCCTGTCAACATTAGAGACCTGCAGCCTGCTGATAAGAAAGCAAGCTTTCCCTGCTTCTTTCTCCAGCAGTCGCTCTCGCGCGCGTGCTCTCTCTCTCTCTCTCTCTCTCTCTCTCTCTCTCTCTCTGTGTTCTGTCTTGCCCAGTATCTCTCCTCCCACCTGTCTCTTGCACACTCTGTGCTCACTCGCTGCCACATGCTCTCTGCCCTCCAGCCTCTTCATTGAAGAGTTTACCTTCTCTCCTTCTTTGTCTTTATTTCTGATTGTTAAGATGAACTTTTTCTCACTCTGTCATCTCTCTCTAACTTGCTCTGTATCCTCACTTTTCCATCCTGTTTAAACTCACGTCAAACCTACTTTAACCCAAGAAGTCCCTCTTCCTGAGTTATTCCCTCACTCGACTCTTTGCTTCTCATATACCTATAGCTCTGCCTCCCCTGCTCCATCTTAATGTGGGGTGCTTGAATTTAGGTCACCTTGAATTGTGGGCTCTGTGGCCTGAGGATGTCGGCCCTGCAGAAGTTGGAGAGCTTTGCCTCACGGGTGTTCAGTCGTGGACCCCGCAGCCCAGCCCCGGGGAGAGAGGCAGGGCTCCCCACCAGCCCTCAGACACCCACCCTGCCTAACAGCGTGCTGTGCTGGGACCGGGAGAGTGAGTGTGCGCCAAGCTTTGTGCGGCAGGGAGCTGTGAGTGCTTTTGCGCGAAGCGCTGCGTTATATTTGAGAAAAACAATCACAGACTATCTTTTGAGGGTTGAGTGATCATGGGCTTTAACTTGTGGGGTACACTTTAATTTGTGGTTGATGAAGAGTGTCAGATTAGATCCATGGGAGGGAATGCTCCAAATGAATGTGTCAGATGGGTGAAGTGCTGTGAAGTTCTTTAAAGCTCTGTGTTGGGGACTGGTTTAAATGGTTGTGATGCTCTGCAATGGTGTATTATATTGGTTACATTGTAGAAATGTGTTCTGCTTTGGAGATGCCCTGCATTGTTCCTGATGAAGCACAGTCAGGCGATATGCTGTATTGCTTTGGCGAGCACAATTACATGATGCTCTGCATGCCTCCCTTATCACACCCTCTTAAGGCAAAGCTGAGAGGCTCTCTAAATAACTCTGAGCAATGTTCTGCAATACTGGAGGAGGGGGCAGAGGGCCTTGTAACCAAGGGATGATAACTGCTCTGTAACTAATCTGTAATTTTAACTTCCTGCTCTTTTCTGGCTAGCTTTATCGCACAGTTTCATTGCTTCGCGTGACATCTGTCACAATGTCACCCTGTGTTTCTTACAGGACCATGTCTTTTTAACATGCAGGTTAAGGGGCACAAAGCATATTAAGCTCCTTTACAAAGTAAGCTGACAATCTGAATTGCCTCTGGGCATAGGATGGGCACAGCTGGCATAACCGGTTAGACTCTCGTCAAAAGGTGTGGCTTACATCCTCAGGGGGCAGGGCTTGTGTAAACACATTTCTTAACCATGTTGTGGCCTGACAGTTCTGCTATCTCTTGATATTCATCTGTGTATGTAAAAAGACAGATGCCTATCATTGCTTTGTGCTTCTTGATACTCCACTCAGAGAGATTATAACTTTCACATTCACCATGCTTTATTGGAATAATCATTTGTACATGCTGATGTACAGGAGATGAAGAATGCTGCCCTGCACTGTGTATATTTGTATATTGCATATGTTCCAGGAATATAATACGTTTATGCTAAAGGGGGTGCTTTGATTAGTTAATTGATCCCCAATGACCACAACAGTATTTGAATCCTGTATACTGTAAGGAAGCACTTCTCATATATGGCCCATCGACATGAAGCAGTAACATGTCCACAAAAACTTGTCTAGTAATGGAATGACAGGCATTTGGCTCTTGTTTGACAGGAATTTTTTTTTAATTTTTTTTTTTAATTGTCTGTCCTTGTCACAAAATGTCTAAAGTAGACTTGGGGCCTGTCAGGCTCCAGTGAAACAGATATTTATTAAGTATTCTGCTCATAAACTGTTTAAAATTAAATTCTTGTGTTCAGTGGGGTTCAAAATATGCCAGTTTGTCACTCATAGCACGAACGCAGAGGAAAAGCTTGTCTTTAGGTCCATCACTATGTCACTGTTTAGTATTTGAATGATCTCTGTATTACACAGGCATAAATGTGATGCATGGCTTGTTTAGAATATCCATCAGGTTGTGTATGTTAATGGTTTGTGTATTACATTACGGGAGACGGCATCATAAGGTGTGCCTCTATATGTCATTGCAGGTGCCATGTAACCAGCCTCTGCATTACACTCCAGGAGATGTAGGACCTGCATTACATGGCAGGAGACGTCGTCCAGATTATATTACTTGGACGTTATATTTGACCTTTGTATTGTGTAGCAGGACTAGTAGAGTCTACCTCTGTATTGTGCTGCAGTATTGCAAGTTGATTTCTAAGAGTGGTATGGCTATAGTAGGGGAGAAAACCTCTGTACTGTTTGGTCAGGTGTCTCTAGCAGTTGTGCACAGTATCTACAACGTCTTGTCATCTCTCTGTGTTGCATTATTTATATGATTATCCTGGGTTATACCCATTAGTTAAGTGTTCTACGCCAGTAAGAAGAGGCCTATTTGAGATAACTGTCTGTATAGAACACCAAGAGAATTAGAAACTGCCACTGCAATGTTATTGAAGAAACCAGTTACCTGTGAACAAGCAGGATATTTAATTTTTTTTTTTTTTTTTTTATTTCAAATTTATTTATTTTTAACCTCTGTGAATCAGTAGTTGACAGAAGTAATACGTTCTTTTCTTTTGTTAATGGTTTCTGGGTTACTTGATTGATGTTCTGTAATCTGTGCTAGAACATCCGAGTTCATATGAGAACCTTTGTGTTAATGGTGCTGAGAGCTGACTAGTCTACCCACCTGAATATTTCCTAATGTAGAGAGGAGGGGACTGTTTTCACTAAATATCTGCCATGTGAGGGGAGGGAACTCAGTAAGGGGTCATTCTAGCTGATATTTTTCTCTACGAGTTCAAAGTCCTGATTACCATGAACTGGTACCTCTAATACAGAACATTTAAAGTCTATGGATGAACGAACTGCATATTGTAGAATTGGTTATGTGCTGGGTATATGGATTTTGTACTATTAACCGATGGGGCTGAATGGCCATGGACTATGTGTGTGGCAGGTACTACATTCTTTAGTGTGTCTGACATTGCAGACTTTTTCCCTCTTGTTCTGCTCTTGTACAATTATTTTCTTCCTCTCTCCCTGAAATATTCAGTCTTTTGATCTCTCCTGTTTGCCATGACCTTAATATAATTGTCTTCCTCCCCACAGTGAAAGAATTCCTGGCAAAAGCGAAGGAAGACTTTCTGAAAAAATGGGAAAACCCAGCACAGGTAAGCTTGAACAACTGATATATCAAGTAATATTTGGCGTGTGTGTATATGTGTAAGTATTAATTTGTAGTAATTGGCCTCTATTGCGTTGCATGGGTGGGTATGCTTAGTGGGTGAAGGCCTCTGTAATGTATTTTGATGCATGAGTACACCTGTTATGTTGAGGTTTGGTCAGGCATTTGGGTGTAGTATCTACATCTTGCTATGTGTCTGTATTGCATACTTTGTAATAATGACTGTGTGTGTGTGTGTGTTTAGCTTCAGATCTGAGAAAGAAAGGAAAACTCTCGAAAGCTTGTCTTTGA